GGGTAGCCAGGGCAGTAGGAGTAGAGCATTGTGGGTATCTCGGCCAGAGCAGTATCATTGTGGGTACCGGGCCAGGGCAGTAGGAGTAGAGCATTGTGGGTACATCAGCCAGGGCAGTAGGAGTGGAGCACTGTGGGTACCTCAGCCAGTCCCCAGCATCCCCCCTTGCCCTTAGACACAGATAGTGATGCTCAGCCTTGTGGGGTGGCTGTGTGCCATCCCAGTGCCCTGAGCAGGCAGCGGTGCCTCTCCACCTCCCCTCCCCACCCCACCCCACCCCACCCCACCCCACCCCCGTGTCCCCTGCTCCTACAATCTCAAAGTATTATTGACTAAGCTGCTCTTTGGTTGGAAGCCACAGCCTTTGAGAAACAGTGATGCAGACATGCACAGAGGAAACAGGCAGGGACAGGCAGAAAGAGATCAACCAACCACTCATAAATGTGATGCCTCTGCCCCCAGGCCTTTGGGCACTTTGACAAGCTAGAAAGGAAACAAAACTGTTTTTAAAATGTATTCTACCCTAGTAAAGCCCCAGCGCAGGAACAGAGGGAGGAAACGGTAACAGGTCCCACGCCTGGCCCCTGCCCGTGGCTCATAGCAAATAAAAAACACACTGAGTGAGCTCACAACTCAGATCGGTCCCAGAAGGAATGAGGTTTCATCCTGCAGGATGCCAGAGATGCACATTCATTGGTGGAGAGCCAAGAGGCAGAGAGTTCAATGGGCGAAGACCCCGACTTCTTCTATGTTTCCTCCCAGATTACTGAAAACTCTAGACTCTACAGTGATCCCATCCATATGAGCGTTATCAGACTTACACGCACTGCATGAGTGTTCACATAGCAGTCACTACACTCCCAGCATGCATTGGGCCCTGTGTAAAACCTAGGATGGATTCTCTGCTGACAGCCTGCTTTAGAGCTGTGCCAAAGTCCTGCTCAGGAGCATGGAGATGTCCCTGGGCCATTTACACTGCCATGGCAGGGCTGTACCTCAGCATGGAGAGCAGCAGACACTCCTGTAGCATGCTTCTGACACACCCACTACTATGTTGGGGCCTAGGAGTGGGGCTGCGCAACCTTACCCCAGCAGGAGAGCTCCCATTTGGGGTGGGTATTCAGGGGCCATTTCTGCCTTCTTTATGTCACCAGAGTGGTGTAAAGGGGAGAATTGCCCCACAGCCATCGCCGTGTGCCCACATGGCCGCAGTGCACTATGGAGCACAGCTGGCTGAGCAGAGTAGGAGGGATGGGTCCTCCCATCTGCTAATCAGTGGTGATTACAAGGGAACAGCGGTGACTTCATCAGAGACACACCAGCTAGTCAGAACCCCCAGGATTTGAAAGTGCAAGTCAGATGAGATCAGCAGCTTCTCCCTGACCGTGGGGACAGCCATGTAGTCCAAATCCCCTTACTCTGCTACCAAAAGCAATGGGGACAGCCAAGGGGGAAGAATGACAAAGCATGCTTTGTCAGACATCCAGATTTGAGAGCTAAATTGTCCTGGGCTTTGTTCTAGATGTTTCTCCCCTGCTGGCTGAGTCCCATGGCTAATTTCACAGCCAAAATGCATCCTGAGTCATGCTCTCCCAGGCTCCAGCTTGGCTGGTGCAATCTGCAAGGAGATGGTTCACATGATGCCCCTTTTATTCATCATTGCTTCTGCCTTGGCTACCGATACCACAGCTGATGGGAAATGGAGGAGGCTGTTCAGAGAGGCCATCTCCTCCCCTTCTGTTTGTCTCGGCTCCCTGTCTGTCCTCTGTCTCTAATGCGCTTCCTGGAAACCTGCCTCCTTCTCTGGGGCCAGTCCCACAGGAGGTTTAATGGGCTTAATCCAGCCACAGCTGGGGCTGCAAAAAGAGGATTAATAATTGAGGCGGTGAAGTCATTGCTGAACAGCGACGAGGAGGAGAGGTGGAGAAAAGTACCTGACAAAGGAGAGCAAAGACCGTTCCACCTGGCTGACTATCATCCTTTTCACACAGAGTGCACACATGCAGCCTACTCTGGGCATGGCCTGCAGAGACCACGTGTCCCCGCATGCAGGCTTGGGAGGGAGGTGTATCTTGATCTCGGGTGCAGGGGAGAGGAGCATGGCATGATGGGATCTGTACCAGCTGCACCTGTTTATTAAAGAGGAGGCAGGCTGCAGCAATCTGGTCCATTTCATACACATGGGGCTACCTGTGAGTTTCTGGCAAGTTGCTAACATGGCTCTCGCCGGGGGGGAGGTAAAGTTGGGTGCTGCTTGCCTAAACCAATCCACTGAGTGGCTGAGCTGGACTGTGCCTTCGCGCTGTGGCACCAGCTGGGCTGCTCTGCTCAGCTCAGGATCCAGAGAGGTTCCTGCAATGCAGCGGGTCCCCTTTCTCTTTGGCAGACCAAGGATGCTCAAGGACAGCTTGGTGTGTGGTTTGGGGATATTCTTGGATGTGCTGGTGACATGATTTTCCCAGTCAGCAGCAGAGGGGCTGAGGTTCATGTGCCCCCAGCAGATGACACAGCGAGCGCCCTGGGTGGAAGTGGAGAGGGCAGGCGGGTTGGGGGGGGGGTTGGTTGTCACCCCTTCAGATCTAAGTGTTTCCTACTGATGGCCCTTTGCATGGTTTCAGCCCCACAAATGCTCAGCTCCTCTTCTGTCCATGCTCCATGCAGCCAGTCCATGGTGTCTGTCTGAGTTCTGGGGGTGAATGGGGCTTGGGTTGGGGAGTCTCTGTGGGTGTGGGCCTGGCTTCTAGATTAGTGGACGAGTCCCTCCCAATCCTCTCTTAGGGCCTGATCCAGTGCTCAGCCGCCACTGACTTCAGCACCTCACACGACTGTGCCCTTTGACCTCCGCGCTGGCCCCTAACTAGCTCATTCCCATGAAGCAGCTCCCGATGGGGGGATGGGGAAGCAGGGGAAACCCCATCTCTTAGGCTCCAAAGAGGTTCCACTTTTCCCCCTTAATGCTCCAGCGTGGTGGTTCTCAAATGTCTTCCTGCTGGGAGAAGGGCAATTCCTCAGGCCAGGATCACCAGTGGGATGGCTCCCGTGCTGTGAGGCATGAGTAGGGTGACCATATTTCCCTGAGCTGAATACGGGACACCTGGTAAAATTACTCGTATTCGAGCCCCTGTTAAAAAGAAATACTGCCTAGTTAGATTCTTTTTATTTCCCTTCTGAGCTTTAAGGCTTTAGGGTTCACACAGGGAGAGGTGACACACACACTCCCATACACCTCTCTCACACAGGGGGGATGACCGACCGACCAACCAGCCCTCCCTGCCTGGTGCCCTCCACCCTCCATGCTTGGCTGGGCCCCCAGGACAGACCTGCCTCTCCTGGTACCTGGCACCACGTCTCCCTGGGATAACACGTGGAGGGGCATGCAGGGTCACATGCCCCCCCTCCCCAGATTTCTGCCAGGGTTCACACCAGAATGTGGCTAGCAGCAGCTTCTTGGCACTTTGCGTGAGGGAAGGGACGGGAGCTGCTTCCAGCTGCAGGGGAGGGGGGAAGGGATGACCTGACCCATGTCTTTGCAGAGCTCATCTCTTCCCCCCACCCCCATGTGGCTGGAAGCAGCTTGTCCCTTCCTGCCCAGTGTCGAAAGGCAGCTAACACCTCCAGGCTGCTGCTGGCCACCGGCATAACCCAGTCGCCTCCTGTCCCCTGGCTGCAGCATGGGCAGGAAGGGGTTAAGCCCTAAGGCTGCATTGTGTACCAGAACCCAGGGAACCGGACTGCAGGGACTTCAGCGAACCCTGCCAGAGAGGTGGCCCAGCAGGGGAGGGTGCCTAGGGGAGGGAGCAGCCTCAGGCTCCCTGAGGGCAGGACCCAGAGTGGGGAGGGGGGTGAAGAGGGTGCTAAGCCCCTGCCCGGGGAGCTGCTGTGGAGTGAGCAGGGCTGGGACATGAACAGACTGGAAATCGCTCACCCCCCCCCCACCGCCGCCAGTCCAGAGCTTAGCTGAGGGGCGGAGATGCTGCCCCATGCCAGTGCTCTGCGGGGCTTTGGCACATGCAGGGCTCGGCTCCTCCTGGCCAGTGCCCCGGGACGGAGGGTCTTGGGCTTTCCCAGGGCACCGGCCCAGCCAGAGGCAGTAGGGGAAGGAAGGAGCCTGCTGGCCAGGCTGCTGGTGAGCTGAGCACTCTGACCAGGGGCTGGTTCTCCGCACAGCGCTAGGAGTGAGACATGCCTCGCTGTGGGGGCAAAGGAGCAAAGCAGAGAGAGGACAGGGAGGGGGGAGCACGCAAAGGGCCGATGGGTGGGCGGCAGAGGTGACACGTAACCAGCTGTCGCCTGGCACCTGCCTGCACTCAC